TTTATTGGTATATCCAAATATGTTTCATTTACTTTGAAGATATATTCTGTAATGGGATTTCTGGATCATATGGTAATTTCATCTTTAATGCTATGAGTAACGTCCAATACTATTGGACTACTTTGCACTTCTTCCAATAGCATGCAAACCTCTCTTTTGTCTGCATCAGCAATTGCCTTTGACTTTTCAGTAGTAATGATACTTCCAAAAGTGAGGCGATGTCTGACTACAGTATTGATATGTGTTTCTCTGATTCATGGTACTAAACTTTCCATGTAGCTATCTAGCATTTGTGTCTTCTTTTGAGAATTATTTCTTGAGTTCTGTTTCCCAAATAAACTTCAACCAATTTAAAGTTCATATCTGTATATACATGTTAAATTTGAATATATACATATACACAAGTAAAATATGTTGCATATTTTACTGAATAAAGTGAAAATTATTAGAAGGATCACAACATTGGACAAGTCCAGCCAGTATACAGAAAATAAGAATAATATTGTTCACTGAAATTATGCAGTGTGGCAGTATTGGGGATGGTCTCTCTATTAGTCATGAATACTTTTCTATATGTCTTTAGTATTTCACTCATGTACCTTATCTATAAACATAAAATGAAATCATAAGGCATTTGTATATGTAGTTAGAATAGATATTTGATTCAGTTTTAAGAAGCCAATTGCCAAACTCACACCTTCACAATTGTCAGATATTTTGAGTATTTTCCTTTTAACTAGTCTTTAAAAAGAGTCACATTATTGAAATGATTCTCTGATTTTTATGTGCTTGAACGTTAATGAAGCTATGAATCTTAAACTATAATGTGCATATAAGCAGAGCATGGTGGCATATGCCTGTAATCCCAGCACTCAGGAGGCAGAGGCTGGAGGATCTTTGTGAGTTCAAGGCCAGCCTGGGCTACAAAGTGAGTGCAAGACCAGCCAGCATTGCATAGCGAGACCCTGTCTCAAAACAAACAAACAAAAAAAATAATGCGTATGTAAGTTTCCAAAGTCGTATAAGAAGCCAGTTAAAAGCACTGTGTTTACAGGTTTTTGGTCTTCTGAAATTCATACTAGCACTATCCAGCTGGCATCATTTCCACTGATTCCAAATTTTAAAAAATGAAAGAAAGAAAAAAAGAGAAAGAACCCTACTACAGATGTGACACAACCCTTTTGTACAAAAACAAAGTGATATATCTTTTTGAAATCCCCAGAGTACCGAGGATGGGTCTTCATGGCAGTAGAATCCTAACTCAAAGAAACAGTATTACAGGTTGGAAGGGCACCGTAAAGAACCTGGATCCAGGCTTTCTTTTATATAAAGATGGAAGTAGATTACACATATTATTTATATTGGCTTTTTTTAGAGCAAGTGTTAAGGAAGAAGTTAAAACTCAAAGTTCATAATAGAATAAAACTTCCCAATGTGGACGCTGGGAATATTGTATTTGGAGTGTGCTTTTCATCAGGTATTGGCTGACAACAGCACAAATGTGATTTGGGTAGGTGTAGAGGGACGGATGTGATGAAATCAAACCATCAGTGTCACATGTCACATATTCCAATTTAGTGTTCCGTAGTTCTGCACAATCTCAGGATGGAATCATCATAAGCATCTGTTCATGTTTCTATATAAATCTCTAAAATTAATACTAATAATATATTTCTACCTCAAAAATCCAAAACGATGAAGTCACAGCAAATCAATTTACTGTGGTTTGCACACCCTCATGTAGGATTTTAGTTTTTCTTCCCATAATCATATTCAGTACCGGGGACCTGATTTGATTTTCTGCTTAAATAAGTCTATAGGTGCTATAATAAAAGTAAACATCTCAAGAGTGACACGGGCTTGTTGGAGAAAGTTTTGTATCTCTGTTTTATTGGCACCCCGTTGCCATCCAATTTGCTTTCATTTTAATATAACTCAATGCCTTCTACCACGTTTCTGTTTGCTGAGACTTACTGAGGTATTATAGCAAAATATAGTGGACTGTCGGCCTGTAAACTCAAACTTATTTCTCACAGTTTGTGAGGCTGTAAATCCCAAATCAGGATGCTGATTTTGTGCATATAGAGAGAGCCCACTGTATCACTGTGGGCAGCCTTATTCTTATGGTCGTCATATGGTGGGTGGAAAGGGAGTGAGGTCTCTGGTGCTGCTTTTGGAAACACTAATCTGTCTCCTAAGGGCTCTGTCCTTAAAATGTAACAGCTCCCGTAGACCACACCCCTTCCTACCATCATCCTCAGAGGGAAAATTTCAGTATATGAGGAAGCAAACAATAGCATTGCTCAAAACTCATAACTGTTAGAGTAGGTGATAACTGAAGAAAATATCTACAAAGAGCACAGTTAACCTTTTACCTAAACAAAAAACTGGCAGTTTTTTTCCAGCATGATGCCATTTTTGCGTCATTACAATGCCCCAAAATCACCTTACCAACAGAGACTGTCTTTAGGATTACATTCTATTGCAAAGTGTCCTCACAGTAGGTCTTCATGCACTTCCAGCTACAAACCTGCAATGTCCAGGAATTTCACTTCTATAATTCTAGCAGGTAATTATAAGTATCCTTGTTTAATATACGATTTTCAACTGTATGCCCATACCCATGTTATCATAAAGGTCTTACAATCTTTGAGCTGTCAGAAAAATAGAGCTTAAAAATAACAGAAATCAAGAAAATACATAGAAGTGTAGGCTTTACTTTTAAAGCAGTAAATATCTATACTTTTGTAAAATCATCACATTTGTATCCAAAACAATTTTTATGTACTTTCTCCTCTGTGTGTGTGTGTGTGTGTGTGTGTGTGTGTGTGTGTGTGTGAGGCATACAATACCCATACCCTCAAATATGTACTTTCCTTTACCAACATCAAAAAAGCACTCAAAACCATTAAATTATCTGGCATATTTGTTTTGATATTTTAATGCTAAAACAAATATTTTAGTATGTTTCCCAGTTTCTGTCTCAGACATAGTGTAGATGGCTTCTGTGAAGGAAAGCTCCACCTTTGGGTGAGATAACCCTCATGGAGATGCTGATGGAAGAGACAGGATAACGTTAAATAATGCTTTGGGAAGGTGACTGTTTAGGAGCTACAGGACAGTACTTAGCAGGGACTGAGACTGGGGTAGAATGCAAGGAATATTTTCTATAGAAAGTGAAGGGAGAATTCACAGATGGTAATTACAACACACGAATGTGCATTGTTAGGACACCTACAATTGTTTTTTCTTAACTGAACCTGTTTGGACTTCTTTCATTGCCAAAAGTCATGGACCTGCTCACCAAAATAACTTTTGTAATGTGAAACCCTCTGTCTAGAATCTTTTTCTCTCCCAAGCAAGTGAAATTTCAGATGGAAAGCTAAATATCTCCATCCTGTAGGAAAACTTGAGATGAGTTAAAATTCTATTATGCAATAAAGTCAGCAACCCCAAGATGGGTTAGGGTTAGGGTTAGGGTTAGGAGATGAAGGTCAGAAACTCAAAATGGAATCTGCTGAGTGAGGACCTATGGAGAGACACTGCCCAAAGGGTAACTCAATCTGAGTGCAATCACGACAGGACCACGTGGAACAACCATTTTCATACTTCTGGGATGCATTTTTAGAGTTTAGAGCAGAATCTGCACGACAACAGTCAGCAGAATTCAAAGCAAATTATTGTCAGAGATGTTTGCTTTGGCCAGTGTGTGCCCTCTGCCCTGGTGAGATTGTTCAATCTGGGTCCAAGGGTATCATGTAACAAACTATCCCAGTCTAGCCCAGTCCCCTACCAAAACTCCATACAATATGTTCCAGAATGCTTTGCTTCTACTTTATTCTCATGTCCTTGAGTTACAAATAAATAACCATGGGAGTCTCAGTTGGTTTCTGTTTTCCTGAGACTCACTTATGCCCAAAAAGTAGCCATCTGAGTTCTCAGTGATTGAAGTAAATCTCTTCTCCAAGTAATATTTCTCATCCTCTGCACAGCCACTGTTGTGCATTGCAACAACAGCCTTCCAGGAATCTTACAAAAGACATCTGCTGAGTGTCCTTTCTGGGGCCTGGCCAGACTATGACCAATTGGCTCAAGAATGCGTGGCCCCTGCATTGGCACTATGTAAACATTGCATAGGTTAGACTCTAAAAACTATAGTCTCCTACAGGGTGGAGACTATATGGATTGCACAGTTGCTTGAGCTCCCGTCAAGACTGCTTGACAAGAAGTCTTCTTGGATGGCATATTCAGAACCCACTCCTGGATAATAGGAGCTTTATTTCCTTGCTTTATATCTTTTACATTCTTGACATTATATTTTATAGAAAAATTTGCTTGTGCCCTACCTCCTCCATCCAGTTTCATTCTATGTCACCATGATGCACAAACTTGACACTTGCACAGTCTGTGTAGCCATGTTCTTGTGGACTATAGAACACACTATTTCAGGATGCTTTTAAAGTTTATGTGGATTACTTGAGTGCTTGGTTAAGAAATGCCTGTTAACTCAACTAGAAGATAAGATTCCCAGTCCACATTTTTTTTTAAATTTCAGTATTGTTTTAACCTTGTGGGTTGTTAGAGTGTTGGGTTAACTAGAGTCTATTACCACAACTAGAAGATAAGATTCATTGATAAATAAATTACTGGATTTTCATGAAATACAAAGCATCTAAATGTATAAAAGGACAACTAATCATCAGTCACTAAATCTTAGCATGTCAGAGACAATGCCAGCATGAAAGAAACAACAAATAAAAGTTTGATGCAAATTAAATTTTCATGAAAACACTGTCTGAGTTGGAGTACTATAAGACAATTTAAAGAAAATAGTTAAGGATGACACACTTGGATACCTGCAACATCTTATGACTAGAACTTAGTGCAAATACTTTTCGTACTAGATAAAATTATGTAACATGCCTTTGTTTCTTGTGCAATATCCAACATAACTTTACAAGAACAACAACCAGCACAAGTCTGTCTGTGTTTGTAGTTATTCAAATCCATCTTTTACTTCTCAGTTTTTCCAGGGCCTCCTTCACATCCTTGTTCCGCAGGCTGTAAATCAGAGGGTTCAGCATGGGGATCACCAGGGTGTAAAACAGTGAGGTCATTTTGTCTTGATCTAGGGAGTAGGCAGAACGTGGCCTAAAATTCATGAAGAGCAGCGTTCCTTGGAAAATGGCAACCGCAGTTAAGTGGAAGGCGCAGGTAGAGAAAGCTTTGAATCGGCCCTCAGCAGAGCGGATCTTTAAGACTGATAAGATGATGTAGCAGTAGGAGACAAGAACTCCTGAGATGGTGCCCAGTTCAATGAATCCAAAAATGATGAATAACATCAGCTCATTAATTTGTATGTCAGAACAAGAAAGGAGAAAAAGTGGAGGTAAATCACAGAAGAAATGATTAATCTCATTGGACCCACAGAAACATAAGCGGAATGCCAGAGCAGTATGTATGGAAGCATCTGCAATTGCCAGTAGGTAAACTCCAGCCACAAGCAGGGAGCACAGCCTGCTGGACATGTGGGCTGTGTAGAGCAAGGGGTTGCTGATGGCCTTGTACCAATCGAAGGCCATCACTGCCAGCAGTATGCACTCCGAATCTGCAAAGACACAGAAGGTCAGAAACTGCACAGCACAGCCAAAGAAAGAAATTGATTTATTCTTCGTTGTGAGATCCACCAACATCTTGGGTCCAATTGCTGAGGAATAGTAGAGGTCACAGATCGAGAGGTGGCTGAGGAAGAAGTACATGGGTGTGTGAAGCTGGGGATCCACCTTAATTAAAATTATCATTCCAAGATTTGCCAGGAGATCAATGACATAAACAAAAAGAAAAATACTAAATAGAGTCACACTCATCTCAGGGTTATCCGTAATTCCCATGAAAATGAACTCAGTGAATGAGGAGCAATTTTCTCTCTCCATTCTTCCTCGTACTTGCCTGAAATTGTATAAAAATGATAGACTGTAGTAGATGTCAAGTTCCTCTGTACATTCACAACGTATTTGTGAGAAAGAATATACTTTTTATGCAATTTTTCTTTACTCTCAAAAGCATACCTATTCATGTATATTGTTCTTCAAAGAGGGAGGGAGAAAGGTCTGCAGGGGACTGGGAAATCAAAGGAATTAAGATGTATAATGTACATGTACCAGCTCCCTAAGATGCATGCCATAAGTATGTACCTGCAAACAGGCATGAATACCAACTTTTTTAAAATTTAGAAAAGAATTATTATGTCTAGTTGGCAATGATAATAAAAAAATCAGAAAAGTCCCCTAAGCAACATTTAGATATAAATGTCACTCATTAATTATGTGACTTTCTACAAGGTCTTCACTGTATCTTGATCATTTCTTATTTTAGGAAGTAAATTTTACTGTGCTGAAATCTTAGTACAGTTTCAAAACAGTATGAACACAACACTTATCACATAGGTCCCTCAAAATTTCATATATGCTGTTCCCCAGAAATCACAGTATATTGAAAAGCCATTTTTGTAGCTCCAGAAACAGGGAGGTATCACTGAATAGTAATAAAATTAGTATTTTGCTGTTGTTGTTCTATCAGTTATTTGTTTTGGATGAGACATAAAATTAGTATCATTTTAAATAGAAATTTGTTGATTCTGATACAGTGCTCACCACATATGTGTTGGTGTGATCTGGAGGTACAGTGTGGGTCTCTTGAGCATTCAAAGGGAGATGGTATAAGTAGTAGATACACCATAATTTAAAACATATAGTTACATCATATCCATTTTAAATGGACTTTTGTACTTAAAAAAGGAAAGCAATAGCAGACAATGAGTATTTCAAAGCTGTATAAGATTCTTTTCTTTATAGATATGTGCACTAATGTATACTTACATACATGGCCTTGTATGACTTTTAATTGCTGGAAAGCTAGAATATAAGAGGTACACATTTGTGGTGATTTTTTCAGTCTACAAAAGCATATTTTCTGATTCATGTGGAGTTGAAATTGTACCCATTCACCTTTGTAATGTGGTATCTAAAAATTTTTAATGAAAAACTGAAACAAATAAAAATCCTTAAATCCATGTATGTACATATTAAATGATAAGTGAATCCCCCATGTTAACTTAGATTAAAATAAAATAACTATAATGTTATTTTGTGGATGCTAATGAGTTCAATAGTGTGCCCCAGTTCAGAGAAGAAAACATTTTTATCATTATTCTTCAGAATTTGTTAAAATGATTCCTTTACAAATGTCTTATTTCTTCCCTGAAAAAAGTTAAGTTTATGGTATTGTTTAACCTGATATCTTTAGTTTAGAATCTTAAGGACATACCAGAGATGAGAAGTTCTTTGACAGCTGAACACTCAACAGGTAATATTTTTATAATAGCAGATAGCTTTGGGGGCTCAAATCTCTTTAAAGATATATCCCTAAGGAACTGGCATTATATACACATGTGATTAATTATGTTTATCGTTGTGCATTTTCCCCTGTGAGTAGGCAATATCACTAGCAAAAATTACTCTTTAATTTTTGACAGGTGCCATCAAACTAATCTATGTCCAGATGAAAACTGAATATAATTTTATAGCAAAACATTTAGAGAAAGTAGATATCTTAATATATGAGATATATATCTTATATTGTATAAGATGTATATCTTGTTCAGGTAAATCAGAATAACAAGCACAAACAGTCCCCTTGTTTAATGATTTCTAACATATTTTTGTTCATTTTCCTTTCATTTTTGCATTCTTCCTTCATGTAAATGAAGCATTACATTTCAATGATGGTTTAATGGAGAAAAGTTCATGTGCTACAAATCTGGAATTTCAAAGTAAACACTCCCTTGGTTTTAGGTGTAGTCACAAAGTCGGGCAGACTTACCACAGTCTACTTGTAGAAATTTTTCAGGTTCATAAAAAACACTCAGTAGTGGTGCCTCTGCTCCCTCCCACCCACCTTTGGTAAACTTTGCCTTCCAGGTCTGTGTATTCAACTGTTCTCCTATGAAATAGAAACAGAATTGAACATGTAATATTTTGTGTCATTTTTTTTTTTATTTAGCATAATGTGAAGATCTACTGGTATAGTAGCATGTTTTAGAATTTCCTTCACTTTCATGAATGAATACGGTTTCATTTTATGGATCTAAGACATTTTGTTTATCTTTGTCAGTCAGTAGATGTCTGGGTTATCTGTACTTTTTCACAGATTTTTTAAAAAAATAACAGTATAAACAATGATACCAATGAAAATGAAAATGTGCAAAACCAATTTCCTCACTATGTCATTGCCATATTCCCATCCCATATGCATGTGTCACCTCTACACATATCTTTAACTTTGTGTCTATGTCCCTTGCTATGCACTCAATATGCAAATTTTGAATTACCCTTTTTCTTTGGTCCCATGAATTGAACTCAGGACCTTGTGTTTTCCGGGCAGGCACTTGTGCCACGGAACTACATCCCCAGCCCTATCCTTATTGTATTGAGACAAGAATTTCTCTACTAAATGTCTAGCTTTTAAGAATTTAGTCTTAAATTAGTGATGAAATTTCTGCATTTCTGCAATCCTATAAAAACCATTTTGCAGTTACTTTTTACTGAATCTGGATAACTTTTGGAAGTTATTTGTGAAAAGGAAGAAGTGAACAAAATGTAGAAACCTACTAAATTTACAGATTTTTTTCTACAAAGGTAGCTCATACATATATGGATTCATTTATTAATTATGTATAGATAGTATTTCTGAAATGCAGTACCAGTTTTTTAAAAACATGATTTAATTTGCTACTATTTGTACAAACTTCTTGCAAAATTTTTAAATTCTTAAATACTAAAATTTTTATACTCCAGTGTCAGATAAGAGTGAAATTCTGTACATTCCATGACCATCACCCACCACTCTACTTGGCTTCACAGGGCTGCTTCAAAGGACACCAACTAACCCTCCTTCCACAGTGACCTGATGGTAAGGTCTCCCATAATTTTTCTTTATCTTTCCTCTCCTTAATTTTTTTTTTTTTTTAAAATTTAAACCACTTACCAAACCACCATTGAGGCCAAATTGGAACCACCCCAGGACCACCAAAAACGATACATGGGCGGGCCCGACGCAGCCCCGAAGAGTAGGCGCCTGGAAATGCAGATAGCAGGAAGCCGGGAATCGGCGCAGAGAGGCGCACCGGCCCTGCGGCCGGCCACCACCATGAGGTCCAGAACCGCCGTGCCACAGAGAAGCACCGACACAACAGGCCCGCCTGGAGACGTGCGTGATCCATCCTAACATGGAGAAACCTCTGGGAAAGCATGCCACACGGCGGGTCGCTCTTGGCCCTGCCCTTGAGAGCCTGAAAGGTCCAGAGTCAGCGGAGGTGCAGGTGATGAACAAGGACTCGAGAACACGAGAGTAACGACACCCGACGACTCAGAGGTCGAGCTGATGGGGACGCGGGAGCCATTCCGGAGCTGGAAACCAGGAGGACCTTGTGCAATACCTGGGGAGACCCGCTGGAGGCCATTCTTCCCCTAACTATACAGGCTGCGGTGGAGGAGCGAGTGGAGCTCCTCAGAGGTCTGCACCAAGACTTCATGGATTACATGGGTGCCCAATATTGAGATTCAGTAGAACAGCCTTCATGGAGAAGGACTGTTGTCTCCAAGGAGGAGCCCTGTGAAATCATGACTATAAAGGAAAAAGTGGGCCGCCCGTTGCTGGACACTGGTTCTGGTCTCTTGGTCCTTCTTTTCAGTCCTGGCCTTCCTTCCAGCCTTCACACCTCAGTGAGGGGAGTCACTGATGAGGAGGTAATCTATTTTTTTGCAACCCTTGGGCTGTAACTACTGGTTGGATCTTTCTTGCATATCTTTGTTTTCTTGAGAAACCACTTTGAGGATGCCAACATGTACTGCAGCAGCCATTGATGATTTCCTACCAATCTGTCCATAACTCTGTAATGGTTGTATTGTTCCTATGTTATTTCATAAATGGATGTATGTTCGTTATTATGTGTTTTCAGCAACAACCATTGAGAATAGTCAATGATTATTTGATTAATCACTCTATATAGCTCAATTTGTTTTCCCTAGAGACCACTTTGGAGAAACCAAGATATAGTACAACAACCATTGATAATTTCCTGCCATTTTTTTTTGTTTGTTTTGTTTTTGTTTTTTTTCGTTTTTTCTCCGGTACTGAGAACTGAACTCACGACCTTGCGCTTGCCAGGCAGGCGCTTTTGCCGCTGAGCTAAATCCCCAGCCCCTGCCATTTTTGTCTGTAACTCACTATTATTTGTCTATTTATGTTCCTGAGAAACTATCTTGAAGATACCAATAGGTAAAATAACAACCATTGATAATGTCCTACCGTTTTGTCTGTAATTCGGTGAATCCTCTATTGCTATGTTCTCCTTCTTTTACTCTTTAAAATAAAAAAAAGCAAAAACCAATATATGACCTCAAAACAAAATGACAGGGATTAACAATGGCTGCTACATTACATACTGTTCTCTTCAATGAAGTTGCTCAGTCCACCAGATGTAAGAATGTAAGATTGATCAATCAAAGGAAGTATGTGTGTTCTTCAAGTATTGCTTCATGCAGTGGCTTTGGTAGGTAGTACATGGCAGGAAAAGGAAAACAGATCAAATACACACATACACACACACACACACACACACAGGTACACACTCAACTACTTACTCAAAGTTGTTAAGATCTAAGAATAAAATAATTCAGAATGAGAAATTTCAGAATTTTATAACAAACTGATGATATTTTGACAGAAAAAAATAGTTATATATTTTTGTAAGTGTATCTCTTAGAAACACAGCTGTCTTTTTTTTTCCCCCTTGGGAATTTTTCTATCCTTTGATTACTTTTGACCAACAAAAACTGGCAAAAATCATTCTGTGTCACCGTATTCCCAGCCTTTAAGAAAATAGTCAATGAGCTCTATGAGCTGCTACCAGGAAAAACAAACTAATTTTGTGAATAAGCAGTGTTACCCACTCTCCCAGAGCACTGAGGGAAAGAGACACCATGTGTCTCTATCTCTGGACATTCACACCTTTGCATGGGAAGTCTATAATCCAGTCCCACTTTCAGCTCAATAGTGAGGTGAAGAACTCAGTTATTCAACATGAGGAAGCACAAGTCATTGTCTAATAGTGCTTAGGCCATGCATTTAAAGCTTTTCAGAAAAACTTTAAAGCTGTGTCAATAGACTATAATTCAAGACAATATTCTGAAGATGGTGTTTTCGATAGTGTGCTATATACGTTCACACATATATGTGCACATATAGAAAAGTATATGTATATATATATGTACTCTTCATAGTTTGAAGAATATATTTCCAAACCACAGATCAAACAAAAGACTCTTAGCAAAAGAATCAGAACTCTTATCAATAACAGAGAATCTATTCTTTACTTTTCTGTTTAAAATAAGCTGGCTGGGGAGATAGCTCAGCAGCACAGTGTCTGCCTGGCAAGCACAAGGTCCCGAGTTTGATTGTTGGTACCTGAAATAATAGATAGATAGATAGATAGATAGATAGACAGCTAGCTAGATAGATAGGTGATAGATGGTTGGTTGATAGATAGATAGATAAGAGATAGATAGGTGTTAGACAGATGATAGATAGATGATAGATAGATAGATAGATGATAGATAGATGATAGATAAAATGAACAAAATTTTAAACAGAAACCTCTCCAAAAGATCCATGAATGGAAAACAAACACATGTGGAAATGCCCAGTGTCTGTAGTTATTAGGAAATTGAGAAATAAAACCAAAATGAGATACCATGACAGATACCATATAATAAGTGGACTCAATTTTTAAATATTGCTCATACCTCATTTTTAAAGACAAAACTGGAATCTATACCTTCAGGTAGCACTTGTGGGCATGAAAAATGCTTCACACATTTAGGAATACAGATTGACAGTTTCTTAGAAATTTAACATAACCTGCTGTTATGGTTTGTGTCTGTGTGTCCCCCCAAAACCTCATGCGGCCATGGGGCAGGCTTTTAGAGTTTGATTGATTATGGATGTCAGAGCTACACCCGCCCTGGGGTGGATAGTTTGCATAGGTAAGGGAGAGGAGGAGGCTGCTTGCAGCCATTCCTCCTTTTAGTGCTTGTTGCTTTTGCTGTGTTCTGCCACCATGAGCTGTAGCCCTCTGCCATGTGCCATTCTGCCTTGTAACCTGCCAAGAATGGACTGAAACATCCACAAACTGTAAGCAAAATAAACCTTTCCTTCCTTAATTTTGGGCATAACGTATTTTGTCCCAGCAACGAGAGAAAAGTAACCAAGACACCTGCCCTATAATATGACAACATTATTCCTGGGTGTTCACATAAGAGAAATTAAATAAATGGCTTGAAAATGAAAGTTTATAGAAGTTTTATTAGCAACAGCCAAAACAACTGAAATTTATCAACAGATGAATGGTTGCCCAAACTGTCCATTCATAGGAATTATAGCCATAAGAAAGAAAAAGAAATTCCTGAATCCCACAACACCATGCATGAATCTCAAAATAAATATGATGAGAGGAAGGAATCATGAACTGTAATAGAAAATACATTAGTGAAATACTAATATCAATATTATTCCCTTTTCCTTGGAATATATGTTTGCGTTAATAATTCTTCCTTTATAATTAAACTGACTCATTTAGAATTTGACTGATTTTACTTTACACAGCATTGAATATCACAGTATGATGCTATGGGGTCTTAGAGGGAGGCCCCTTTCCCAGGTGTCTGTGGAAGCGCTCCTTCCCCTCACCCCTGCTCCCATGGGCACTTGCTGGAGAGTGGCCAGGAGCCCTCCCTGTGCTCCAGAGGGGGCAAGAAGGGAAGTGCAGAGATTGAGGCCTGACCAACGGCAAGGTGCAGGAAGAGAGTGAAGCCTCTGGTCACAGGTGCTCTTCCCAAACCTACGGCAGCATCACGGGGAACAAGAGTCTGAGAAGAGAAGTTCCTTACAGAGAAGTTCCCGTCCTTAATATTCCCTTGCAGCCTCGATGCAGAGGGTCATGCGGGCAGATTTCATGTGAGAAGCACTTACTACAATCACATGAAAGACAGGGAATTGTTTCCCCTTACACATGCAAAGTCTGCTTTGCCCACCAGGCTTTTAGGGGACTTTGTACATTCAATGACTGCTGCTAAGTAGCCCCCTGCTGCGGAGCATCCCTAAGATCAAAGCCAAACAGGGCAAGAGCATCAGCATCACAGAGTTTTGAGTCTGAAGCAAGACATCATTTATTTTTATTGATTTACTCCATACTTATTTCTAATTGTTACAATGGGCATGTTCAGGGTGATATTACTATGCATGAAGAATACAAACAAGAGTAACTTTGACTCTCTTAAGTCTCCTGCTTTTTATTTTATTTTAAAGATAAAAGAACAGAAACATATTAACAGACACACAGACATTTGCAAAAACACAACAACAGTGCAAGCAATACATATTTTCAGACGAGGTGATAGGAAATTAACAATGGTGGTTGTATTACATATTGATATATTAAAACTGGTTACTCAGATAAACAAATATAGGCATGTAAGATTGATCAAACAATTAAACATTAACTGT